ATCAAAAGGTTTCATTAATTGATACTTATGATGTTGTAAAGCTTATTTTTGCTACTGTAAACCAATTTAAAAGAGCAACCTAAGTATGCATACAGCAACATACAAAGATGTGCTATTAAAAAATGTACAGTTACAATGTGAAAAATATATTAAGAAGTTTGTCATACCTAACATATATTGTTACAAACATGATAACTTTTACCTGGACATCTCTCTCTGAAGGTCAGCTTCATACTGCTGACACTGTGTGAAATATGACATCTGTGCTTCAACGAAGTCGTTTAAACATCTAAGATGATTAGCCTTAAAAATATAAATCATGCATTAACATTTTTATTCAATAAAATTAAGTTTCAATTCCTTCTAGATTTAAGTTAATTCTTTACAGAGTTAAGAAAAATAATTTTAACATTAATACATTACCGTTTACAGAGTTAAGAAAAATATTTTTAACATTAATACATTACTGTTTACAGAGTTAAGAAAAATATTTTTAACATTAATACAGAATTTGTAACTTATTATCACAATTTCTTATGACTTGGACAATTCCTGATAGAAATGGAGAAACAGAAATCAGTCTTATAAATATCATTCACAATGCTTTATTAAACTGACTTGTCAAGCCTCTTAATCAGATAATAATATTTAATGGATTTGTACCCATCTACCTCCATCGTAATAAGTTATAAAAAAATAATTTGTTAAAAACAATACACATATAAACAACAGGGAATCCTCAATAGCTGCAGCACTTCAAATTCTTTTATGCACGACTGGAGTAAATTAATCTACGAGAACTCAGAGCTATTCTATGAGCCACTATGTCACAGCCAAAAATATATTAAACACGCAGCTCATTTTTCTACTAATTACAGAAGTTCACAAAAGATCCATAAAATATTTCTGACACAAATGTATGAATGCTACAGAAAAAACTCACATGTGCACTGCTGACCCCTTCTAAAAGCAGTTTGGTGATTTCAGCCTGTCTATCATACTCGGATTGGGCTAACCGAAGCTCTTGTTCAGCCTAACAATAAGCAACAGAAATACATCAAACTGTAAGACAACAGTTGTAAAATTTTCCTGTTTTTTTCAGAATTTTCTCAACTACTACTTACTTAGAAGTCAGAAAATAACTGAATATGTCAAGATGTGCTTCACTGTAAAACAAAAATTGTAAAATGAACAACTTGGAATGGTCAAAAGAAATAATTTCAACTACTCAAGACATATATATTTTGGAAAAAATCCTAGGGTTACACTTGTGAATAATCTAACAGACATCCAAAAAATATATCAAACAAAAGCATAAACAAATATACAATAATTCTGTTGTATATGTGTATGTTTCTCAATTTTTATACCAAATCATCTTCTTTCTTCTAAATAAATACATGACCAATGAAAACAGTCACAAGAAACAATGTGCTTTGCACAAAATTCCTAGCATAAAATATCTTATCAGTTGCAGAAATTCTTATGTTGAGAATGTTGTTTAAATTAATAAAAACTTTCACCTTTTTTAATAAGAAAGTCTGGGATTACAAAAACAACACCAAGTATAAAATAAATTACACAGGCATGCAAATTTAACCTTCATAAAAGTTTTGGTTTTAATAACGAATTTTCCATAATTCAGCTCTGCAGATTTTATAATATTCAAATTTTTTTATATCAAGGATTTTTTTACAAATTGGGAAGAAATAAAAACTCTTACTTAGACCAAATTATTATTTCATTTACCACAATGAATATTTGTTTATTATTATGTTTGTTAACAAAACTACAAACAAATCGAAGAAAAGGGAAGAACAT